GCGTGACTTTTATCTTCTGTATTTTCAATAAAATCACGCGACATTTATATTCTCCGCTTCAAAACACATGCATCTCTCTGTTATATGACATATGCTAATTAGCTCGTGCGACACCAACATGGCGGACGATAACATTTGATAGGTGTATGACGTCACATGAAAACCAAGAATAATTGATATTGCACTCATTATGGGCAGCCCCACGATAAGCGCTCGTCAAATGACAATGGTCCTGAACCCTGTCAGCTCCCAAGACCTCTCCACAGATATTGCAATCAATGACGGCTTGAAACTCGCGTTCCTGTCCTGCACTGATATTCATAGGCACAACTGTTTTTAAAATTTCTGAAATGTGATTCTCTTTGCGTAAAAAACAGTCTATAAATTTATCCACTGCATCTACTCCCCGATATACCGCCGGGGGTTTGTTATACAGGTCTACTGTAGACACTATAGTATAGCAAAACCCACTAGGCTGATGGTGTTGAGTATTTCGGGTCCCACTCAAATGGACTCAAAATCCGTGTAAACAATAAACGGGACTTTGAGTTGCTTTCCCACTTCTTTAAAAGCCAGGGTAGCCTGGTTTTCATCAGGAAGGCGTATCTTTTGAGCACTATGAAGCCCACAGTGAGGTTCATGGGCCCCTAACAAATCCTCTCTGACGAAGCCATGCAAGCAGTACACATAGTGGAACATGCGATTATGATTTTGAGTTAAACTAGATAGCAATCGATCTAAATTCCTGATTAAGCAATAATGCCTTTGGCAACCTTGAGAAAATAACAATAGATTAATATGGAATTCTTTTTTATCCTTTGTAATATACAGTGGGAAGAGCTCATTATTTTCAAAACAAAAAATGTTAATACTGAGGCCAGAATTTTGTCGCTCAACTTTCCCTACTTGACTAATCTTTACGGGAAACTCGATGCCCTCCATATTTAATTCGTCTTCATACCTCATATAATGTTGGACGCGATGAGGTTGATCACGCCGATGAATGGGATACTTTGCAGCCAAGACCGACCAAAGAAAACATTTTCGGTGTTGGTTGTGGATGTTCAGGACCGCCTTTTTATCTTTGATCCTTTTGGGAAGCAGGAGATAGCAGGCACCTTTCAGAGGAGTGTAGGGAACAACTCCCAGATCCAAGTGCAATACCTGTTGAAATAGAACAGCATTAGCACTTGTGAAACTCTTTACAAACTTTCTTACAAATCAAACTTGAATTAAAATTACCTCATCCAGTTGCCAGCCTGAGCCTTCTCTCTGATATTCAAGTAAGGATGACTTTATTTTTTTCTGTGGCCTCCAAGGGTTGGTGGTGGAAACCTGATCCTTTGTCTCTCCACCACCACCTTGGTTTACAGTGTTGATCTACAACAGAAATTTCAAAATGAATTAGATTTCGCTGTGGAAAATGATTATCCATTTAAATTGAAAACAAACCCCTACCTCTTCTTCATCCCCCAAGATTTCACCATCATACTCTTCTAACATCTGTGCTGGGATGTTATTCAACTAGAAATAAAGATAAAGTAAGATTTAAATGAATAGTCGTTTCTGACTGTTATCATAATTAAACTAAATGAAATGGAAAAGATTACTAATTACCTCATATTTAAAAATCTCTTTGTCACTCGTTTTCTGTTGTTTTTTTTTTTTTAGGGTAAAGAGTTTTCTTTATCCTCCAGCTTCCTCTTTGAAGAGCCACCATTACAATTAGCTTGGTGTCTTTTCAGATGATGTTTTCGAGTGATATTCCTTTCACAATTGGGGCATAAAATATCTCGACAACTACTGTGCCTCTCCCGTTGATGTTGTAGCAAACTTCTTCTGCAAAAAATGCTTAACCACAATTAAGACATTCATATGCAAAGGTTCGCATAATCCCTAGTCGAGACTGGAGTCGTAAACTTCCCTGCATCGCAAGACCTATAAAAGTATTTCAAAATTTTAAGAAAATCCAGATTAGAATCAAGTCAAAACAGATGTTTTTTATGAATATATCTTCAACTTACATAAGGCCTGTGATTAGACATTAGGGGCACTTTAAAGCCTGCTTCGCACAAGCAACGCAAACGCAAGTAAATTAAGATACGCAGTAGTGCTTGTTTATATAAAAAATATGGCTGCCGATATTGAAATATTTGGGTTATTGTTAGTTTTTCTGGGTTTATATATGATAATACAAATACCGAGGAATGAAATACAGAGAAGAAGACCAAGAAGCGTTTGGGTGAGACCGATATTTCAGCAACTACATTTGCAAGGAGACTATCATAACTTAGTACGAAAAACTTCGTTATTTAGGCAGTCGATTTTATTTCGTACTCGTGTGTATGCCTTTTTAACTTCTGAACACATCTTTGGAGTAAAGAGTAGAAGGGATGTATCGGCTAGAATTTCTTTGAATTCTTCAAACGTGCGAGAATTCACAAGAAGAGAAAGAAACCGAGTACATCATAAAAGAAAACCATCGATCGCCATTGTCTTTGCAAATTCTTTAACAAACCTCGCTTGCTTTCTTCATGAAATGGCTACAGCACACGTGTGGTGTCATCAGATCTGGCCCGTTGCCTTTGGATTTTAGATGAACAGTCTTCCAAACACGGTCTAGGAAGGCTCCCATCGTTTCTTTATTGCATTCTTGGAGACAGGCCATCAGTATTGCTTTTCCTTGGTCGCTAACAATTTGGCGTGGCATTCTTACTTTGTTGTGACCAAACGGCAGTCCCTCGGCTTATCTAAAGCAATATAAAAGATGTTGGATCGTAGGAGCATTATGGCGGCTGGTTATTAGTTCGGCAACAGGTAAAGGTGGCTCTTCCAGACACAGGATTAGGAACGACCAACGCATAGTACAAAACACGGTTCTCCCCCCAATCGGCAATGATAGTCCCAGTGGCATCCAAAAAGGCCACGTCATTCCCGCAAATGTCATGCCAAAGACGAACTTGACCTTCTGTCCAAAGGTGAACAACTAAAGGGCTCGTGGCTATGTATTGAATGTAGCCTTTGATTTTAGTAGCTTTGGACGCCTCATCTACAAACTGCGTTTTCATCATTTCCAATGAGGTTATTGGATTATCATCCAGTGGCAGAGAACGTCTTGCCTCGCTTGCAATTTGCTGTACGACTTTGGGGCTTGAACCAACTCCCGTCCAGTTGCCAGCGCTAAACAAACGCTCATCGAGATTGTTGATTTTTTCATTGAAATATGTTGAAGGTTTCTTCCCTTAATTTTTGAAATCATCTACAACTTGTGTTCTCAGTTCTCCTGCAATTGGCCGAGCCCGTCTTTCACTCATGTCGTGCAGGACGTTCCCCATGTAATGGATATGAAGAATTCGCTTGTTCTCCTCACTCGAAAGCATAAATATTTTAAATTTCAGTGGACAGTGTTTGGATGAGCAAGAACCGTTTGCAATAAAACAGAATTTGGCTGTATTTTTTTCTCCCAGAGAAACATTTGGCTTTGTGCCATTTAAAGAAAAGTGGACAACATGGGTTTGACTTCTTCAGGTAATTGTACAAAATGTCAGTCCATCCCTTGCAAAGTTTATTCCGTCATAACCGATTCGGTTTGTGTTTATTCCAGTCACTGGCATCAATCAAGGTGGTCGTTTTTTCAGGCAAAATCGTGGTGAAAAAGTTTTTGTTTGCACTCAGAGTAGATCGGGTTAGCTTGGAAAAGGTTTCTTCGGCAATGTCACTCTATAATACATATGAAAAATAGCAATAAGCGACCTGACTCTATGGATTTATTGAATGATGTCACCACTATTAGTGATCTCCATTCGATTCCATGCAAACTTCATGAGCTTCAATGTTGAATTTCGAAGTTTGTCTCATTTATTTTGTTATTTATAGTGCAAAAAATAAAAATAAAAAAATTCAATAATTAAGACAGACAAAAACACACAAACATTGTTTAAAAAGATGTCTATTAATCCTTTAAAAAAAACACTTGCGTTGAAGACCTGTAACCCAAAAAGAAAAGAAATAAAATCAACTTTTTAGTTGTTGAAAAGGGAAGAGAGTTGTGAGAGTATGGATCATAAAGTTAAGTGTGTAAGGCGCTTTTTGATCACAAAAATCGTTGCTACGTACCTATCTTTTTAAAATAATCTTCCACCTTCTTGTTTATCCACACGATTTTCGTTACCAATGCCACACTGTGGAAAACCATTACATTCTTTATTGATAATTTTTCTTTTGAACAGTGATTGATCGATTATGATATGTACTTACTTGCAACACCATACAGGGCAAAGTGTGACTTCCTTTACGAATCGTAACCATTCGAGACACACTATGCATCCGCATGGTTGTAAGCACGCTCCACTCTCCGTCGTTCGAACAACTTTTTCACAGCTATCACAATCTATGATAAAATTATTTTAATTAAGAGACGTAATGATAATAAGTCAACAGTATCGAAATAATGAAATAAAATAGATGATTAAACTTACCAAAATCACTCTACGAATCGTAAACATTCGAGACATACTATGCATCCGCATGCACTGTAAATCGGAAAGAAATCGTAAAATATAGTACCATTTTAAAGGGCTAATTAACCCTTTCTTTGATGGGCTATTTTGGCCCCTTTTTGTTGCGCCAAATAGACCCCACAAATGGGCTAAAAGGACATAAAAGGGGGGCCGATGTGAAAATTGGGGGGGCTATAATGAATTTCAGAGGAGCTGATATGACCCATATTATTGGTTGATTCGGCCTTCTACTGGGGTCAAAATGCCCTAAAGGATGMCAGTTTAGAGTTTCTGGAKGTGCCAATACGACCCTTTCATATTGTTTAATTCAGCCCTTCTACTGGGGTCAAAATGCCCCAAAGGCATGACGATTTAGGGTTTCTGGAGGTGCCAATACGACCCTATTTAATTGCTTGATTCACCCTTCCACTTTAAAATGCTTACATAGGATGTGGCTTTAGTAGGGTCCTGAAGACACAGTTATACTTAAGAGTAAATTCAAGGGGTAACTTAACTCCAAAGAACATGGGTTGATGAAATAAAATAATAAAATGGACAACTCTGATCCAGCTTTTCACACCAATAATGTTAAGTCTCAAATTCATCTTTAATAGAAGTTTCTTTGTCAATGAGAAAGGTTACATGACATCTAGCTATTGTACACTTACCTTCAAAGCCAAAGCACCCTAAGGAAATCCAAACCTGCGTTTGGTTGACTAAGTAGTCACAGTAATACAATTACTCTTTGATTTCTGATAATCAGTTTCAAAGTAACAATATCATTACTATATTCAGGAACCCAGGGGTAGAATTCTGTTGCTCCTTCCTCACTACCAGGAGAAACATCCCTGTGCACGTTGTCCATTTGGACTTGTACCGGAAGTCAAAATTCAAAATGTCCACATTCAAAAACTAAACATATTTGTCAAGCTATACTTCATACTGATTGGTCGACCAATCAGAACACAGGTAATTTTGACTTCCGGTACAGTATACTACAATGGATAACTTGGACTGCACCATAGCCTCAAGAACATTTCTAAAACAGGAATAAAATT